CGATTGGTTAGGTCATTTTTGAACATTTTTCATCTTCAGTTACAGGATACTCACGGATGTCCGAGGGAACGTTCGAGGGACATCTAGGGAACTTCTCCTTTATGCTTAAAACGAAATAAAATAAGAATTTATCAGATATAATAAAATTAAAGTGACTTCGTACAAATAAAAAGTCACTGTAATAATCCTAAATTTAGGAAATGGTATGAGGTATCTATTGAGAAAGAATTTGTAAAAAATTAACCCCTTATAATAGCAAAAAGCTATTATAAGGGAATTGATAGGGATGCTCTTAGTTGTTGTTGGTTAGCAGGTAGATACAAATTGATTTGATAGTTTAAGTTTTATTATTTTATGTATTTTTTTTAAACCAATATTTTTTTTATAATTATTTTGGACCTTATTTGAGTATAAAACTATTTATTCTTCATTCTTTATAATTAAAATAAAAGTTAAATTTTCATATTTTATGAATAATTAATATTATTACTAATTAAAATATTTTTTTTAACATACTTATAAAAAAACATAATATCATTTTCTTAAGGAGGGTTGGTGGATTGGATTGGATTGGGTTGGGTGGCTTATCATTCTCCATCCGTCCGAACTTAGACAGATTTGAAAAATCTCTATCAATATCTGTCCTCCCATAATATCAAAATTGCTTAAAAGAGGTGGATTGGGTTAGATCAATCAATTTTGGAAGATCAATCCGGTTCGTGAGCACCTCTAGTTGTTGGAGGAAATATGTGAAATTTGGTTACTTGAAATTTTTTTATATAGTAAATCTCTTTACATTATGGCTCATTTGCATTTTGTCTCTTTAAATTTCAAAATTTAACAATTTATTCCCTCAAAGTTTTATCTTATTACAGTTAACTAGTTTGTTAGAATTTTGTTAGGAGTTTATACAAAATTAGATCATGTGTAAATTACATGACATTTTTATTGAATTCTTAGAACAATAATACAATTATTGATTGTTTTACAAAAATAATACTACTCCATTATTTGGTGATTTTATTTGCATTTTGTCGTCTTATTGTAGTGGCAAAGTGCAAATAAAATCACTAGACAAAAGTGTTATTATCTAAAAATTCAATAAATGTGCTATGTGTTTTACATATGATTTGATTTTTTTATAAATCTCTAATAAATTTCTAACAAAGAGGATTAATTGTTGAGTTTTAAAATTTTAGGAGGACAAAATACAAATATATCATAGTTTAAAGGAATTTACTATAATTTATATATATAAAAAAACTTTGTAAAAATTTTTCAAAATTATTTAACTGCAGATTACTTGTCAGATATGACTTATGAATTTCGGATACAGCTTTAGGATTAAAGTTTTTAAATAAAACAGAGTTCAAATGTCAAAGGGCATTTGGTCTAGTGGTATGATTCTCGCTTAGGGTGCGAGAGGTCCCGAGTTCAATTCTCGGAATGCCCCCTTTTATCATTTGGTTTGATTACTTTTTCTTTTGTGGACTCGACCAGGCCCAGCCCATCCTACTCAGCAGTTACTGGGCCATACCCATATGCACTCATTACCCCCGTGTAGTCCTATCAAAACGTGAAAAATTCGTTTTTATATTTTATTTTAATTAAAAAAAGAGATTAACCATAAAAGGTTGGTTTCAAATTTAAGGGTTGTTTGACGATGAATTTTTTAGTTGATTTTTTTGATTTTTTAAATTATTTTAGCTTGGGATTTTTTTTGTTGTTTGGTTTTTTTGTTTGGATTTTTTGACATTTTGGCTTTGGAATGAATTTTTTTTTTTTTTGTCTTTTTGTGTTTTGTTTCCTTTTATGATTTTTTGACTTTTTTTTTTTTTTTAGCTCAAGAGAAAAAACCAAACCAGCACTTAGATCTCAAAACAGTTGGTTTTGTATAGAGCTTTCTTCCATCTATTTTAAAAAAGACACTTGTCACGTAATTTTTTTTTTTTAATTTTAAAACTTACCCAAATTAAAGGTCTTACTCTCTTAACTAATGTAATTAACGTCCTTTGGTTAGCTTAAACCAAAAAAAGAAAAGAAAAAGGAATAGATCTATGAAGAAGCTCATTCAGGCCTCGTTTGGGAACAGGTTAATTTAGTAACTTTTTGGCTATTTAGTTAAAATATGAGCTAAAAAAAACTAGTATGTTTGGGATGACTTTTTGACTTTTTACTAAAAGATGTGCAAAAAGTAGAGAGAAAAGAGAACCTTTGACTTTTTGGTATGAGTTGTTAGTTTTTTGGCTAATTTAGTAACTTTTTGACTTTTTAGCTAAAAATGAGGGTTCCCAAACAAGGCCTCAGTTTAAATTTTTGTACTAAGGCCGGCCCTCGGTTAAGGCTAGTGAGCCCTGCGCCTAAGGTCCCTAAATTTTGGCCCAAAATAAGTCTCCAAATTTTAAAAATTCTTTATACCATTAAGTTTTAAAAAAAGCCCAATTATTGTTACAGGCCCTTCAAAACAAAAAGGCCCACTAAAAATAAAGACCCTACTCTTGTCTCAAGAAAGATTGAATGAATTAGCTCTCTTATCTATTGAAAATGATATAGTGGATAAATTAGATTATACAAACTTAATTAGTAATTTTGCAGCTAAAAGTGTAAGAAGAGTAATGTTTAAGTGATACTTTATCGTAGTTGGTTCAATTTTTATTTGGTATTATAGCTTTGCATTTTTTTCTTTATTGTAAATTGGATTTTGCCATTTTAAATTCTTATAATGATTTCTTCATATCTTAATCCATATAAGTAAATTTTTGTATTGATACTCACAAATAATAACTTGTACATTTTTACTATTTATAATATTACTCAAAATTTTTGTTTGATTAATATGTATAAGGCCCCTCTAGAAACTTCGCCTACGGCCCTATAGAATTCAGGGCCGGCCTGCTTTGTACATTCCCGAACAACTCATTTTTGTTAGAGGAATTATAGAAATTATTCTATGTTCTTGGGGCAAGTTTAGATGGTGCTTTAAATTAAAAGTGGTTGGTCTAATATAGTATATATCACCTTATTGTTGTTGGACAGTTAGAGATGATGTGAAATATGTCAATTAATTAATGAAATAGAACATTGCTCTAAGAGTAATGAATAATTTCTCTTACTAGCACACCCTTGTCATAAAGAAAATTATGATTTTTTAGGATAAAATTTAAGGACTACGATTTGTTTTATAATTATGCTATGAATATTATAATTATTGTTAGTTTTTTTTTTTTTTTTTTTGGGGATGATGAATAAAAAGTTATATTTTGTATTAAAAAAAAAGTTATGACATTTTATGGTTCATGTTGCAAATTTAAAAAGAAGACGAAGAGATTTTCTCACAAATATGATTGCATTTATATCATTTTTTTCTATAAAGAACTGTTTATCGAGAATACAAGTTTAATCTTCTCTTAGATTAAGTTTGGCGAGGATGAAAGTGAGGGAAATAAAAAAAAAATAAAAATGTTAGAAATCTCAAAAATTCTACCAAAAATTTTATCAAATATATAAGAAAATTTAAATTTGTTTATAAAAAATAGTTACTTATACTTCAAATTCCTATTTTATCTCTATTTTCTTTTCAAAATTACAAGAAATTTTGTTTTGTTTTTTTTCTTTTGCATTTGTTTCAACTATTTTAACTCTTTATAATCAAACAGACCTTTAAAATAAGTTTCAAATTGTTGGAGATCCAGTTTTTTAAGGTCTCGATCAGACTTTCTTTTCAATTTTCTTACACTTGAAAACTTGAACTATGAGTGTTTGATTCAAAGAACAAGCAAGTGCTTAAATTCAAACCTGAAAAGGAGATAAAATCAACGATTCACCAATTATAACATATTGAAATTTAGTTTTTTTTTTAATTAATAAATTTAAAATTCATCCACTTGGACCAAGGGAGGAAATGTTTACTTGTTGCTTATAATAATAACAACTAATTAATTCATCCACTTGGACCAAGTGTTATCTTGTACAAAAAGTCGTGGGCATCCCCTAACTGGCCAGTTGCTTTTGGTTCAGGCATCTACGGTCGTCATTAATTAGAATTTTTTTTGATAGTGACCATTAATTGTAATTGATAAGTTAAACTTTTTCCATGGAATTAACTGGTGATGACCACATGTTAACAAAAATCTATGTAATATGGAAGATCACTGCTATATTAATTAGTATATTAACAGTAATTAACAGATGACATACTAACATAATTTTAAAAGTTTTAAGTATTTATATTATTTATAATGGGTATGATCATAATTTTGAAATAATAATATCATAATATATATTGATATATTAATTGATGTACTAATTAATACACGTAACACCATTGTAGATAAAATGGGTCTGGTTAACGTGAAAGGCACAAATGTAGAGAAGCCAATAATACAAATATATGTATATATATATATACAAATGCATAAACACATGTGAAATGTTATAAATTTATAGTGAGGTAGATCTTTTATCCTTATATTAAGTGTGATGATTTGGTCATCCATACCTTTCAAGTTTCAATCAGTAGATAAATCTTTCATCCTATATATATATATATATTGCCGATCAAAAAATATATATATATATATATATCTATATAATAAGGGAAATGGTGATTCCGAATTTCCTCAAGGATCAAATCAAATCTAGAGAGATGAGTTGATGAGAATGGAGAATTGAGAGGTTGGGGGGGTTGTTAGGACAGAGAAGCGAGGCTTGAGGCGGAAAGAAGGAAGCTTTTTCCGCCTTGTGTGTCTAAGCTTGAATTCCAATGCCATGAGATGAGATGAGATGCGATGCGATGTTTTGAATTTAAAGAAAATGTTATTTTCTTCTTGTTTCAAAAATAGAATTCCCACAAAAAAAAAAAACAACTAAAAATAGAAATTGAATTATTAATTCTTTTTTTTTTCCACTTTTGAGTTTTTGATCCGATTGTGCTTCGATTGGCTCACCAAGTTCGCTCCTCTGTTTGCTCCTCTCCTCTCTCCCTCTCTCTCAAACCCTAGATTTACGCTCAGCCACCAGAAATCATTCTCCGAAAAATACCATTTCGATTTTGGGTTCAATTCCATTTTGGGTTTCGATTAGTTTGTAATTGTGTTTATGTATAGTTGATGTGTTTCAAATTATGTTGATTTGTTTGTACCCAATTGTGTTTGTTATTGCCAGAAAAAAGATAATTTTTATTGGGTTTTGAGTTTTAAGACTTAATAGGAGTAGTTTTGTTGGTGGGTTGGCTGAGACAATTCTCTTAATAAAATGTCAAGTGTGTGCAGATTAAGCTCAATTTCTTTGATCCTGCCTGCTGAATGCTCTGCTCAGAGTAATCAGTGCTGTTATGACGTCTGGTTTTTATGTATCTAATTTTCTGTATTTTGACACAATTATGGGGCCGTCTTTGGTCACTAACTCTTCCGCCCCAATTGTTTTCGGGTAAGCTGTTATGACTTCTGAAGGTTGTCTGTGTCAATGTGGGACATAAAATAACTATTAGATGGAGAGAGTAGATGGTCAAAAGAGTGAAATAAAAAGCCTTCGTGATAGACTAATATGTGGTTTCCATAATTAGCAGCCTTTTTTTTTTATTATTTTAGTTTACAGAACAACCATAATCAAATGTGACATTGGTTATTTCAACATGATTTCACCAATCTTCTAATTGAAAAAAAATCAGTTAACTTAGGGTTCATTTGGGAATTGGCTTTTTTAGTGGCTTTTTGTCTAAAACTTCGTGGCCTTATGTTCTACGACAAAAAATCAGTGGTGTTCATTCTCTTAGTAGATTCTACATTGGTAAATGGAGAAGAGGAAGAGGAAGAGGAAGAGGATTATAAATGGGATGAGGACCAAAATTTCTAATGGTAACTGTAAAAAGAAGAATGAAGGTCAACTGAAGGAGGATTAGAGAAGTAATGATCTTAGCAGAATGTATCTTATATTATATGTTATATCTGCAATGGCTTGGCAACATATCAGGATTGAGGAGTTGAGTGTACATTTCAAAACTTCTGTCCTCTTTTTTCTATTGTCGTTGTTTTATCCCCATATCAATGTTCATCTTTAGTTTTGTTGGGTGGGTTTTGAACATTTGATTGGCTGTTTTGGAATTTGTGAACAGGTGTAGCACCAATCACTCTGGGGACTTAATTATGCCAGATAAAGCAATTGATGGGATTTTTGGGTTTGGTCGACAGGTTCTGTCTGTCATATCACAGTTGTCATCCTGAGGGATTACTCCCAAGGTTTTCTCCCACTGCTTGAAAGAAGATGGCAGCAGTGGCGGATTATTAGTTCTTGATGAGAGAGAGCCAAAGCCACACCAAATTTGAACAACACAGGCCTGATATCTCTATTCTCTTTCACCATCCTAATTGAAAAGCTCTAATCTAGACACATAGATACAGATATATACACATATATGAAGATCATGGGTCCTCTTCTTCCATCTACACGCCTAAATTCAGAAAAAATCAAACGACCCATTTGAAAAAAATAATTTATAAGCAAAACCCAATTCAGATTTTGGCGATTTATGACTCACCATCGGAGATAAAGATCGTATATGCATCGAGAAATAAAGCAAATGAGTTTGGAGACGATTTGGTGTTGTTGTGGGTCTTTTTGCAAACTCAAGTTTTTGTGACTTTCATGAGTTTGAGATTTTGTCTTTCTTTTGAGAGTTTGAGACAGTTGTGTATGAAAACCCATAATTTAATTGAGTAAAGTCTTATGACGACTGGCCATTGATTTTTTGCCTTAAGTCATGTTGAATGTAATAAGCACATCTATATAATAAGGGAAGATGGTTTTTGAAAATCTATACAAATGTCTGAGAGATACATTTAATTTGGACGGCTGAGATGTCTAAAATGTTTAGATCAATGGTTTAGATCAATGGGTGGTTCCCGCCCAACACATTTCATTTGATTTGCCTATATCTATCCTCTGTCTCCTTCATACCCTCTGTCTACCATCTGTCTTCCCATACCCTCTACCTTCCCTCTCTATCTCCCTCTCTGTCTCCCTCTCTGTCTACCGTCTGTCTCCCTATTCCTACTCTGCACTGACTCTCCCCTCAGTATCTACCTTCCCTCTCTATCTCCCTTTCTTGCTCTGTTTTTGGGTTTATCTTATTGTATTGGGTTTGGATTTTGAGTTATACGGGTGATATTGAGCCAACTGGTATATACGGGTGAGTTATAGATATATGGAAAAGAAATTCTGCTCAGACTTTAACCAATTCTACAGGTCAGCATTGGTGATTTGTCTGCTCTGCCCATTTTGAGTTTAAATTCATTGAAGTTGATGTTGAGTACCTTCTGGGAAAACACTTATTCCCTTTTTGTATTTAATGTATTTCCTTTGTTTAAACCTGATAATACTTCTTCTCTTTGCTGGACTTCTGCATTTGTAAACCATTATAGGCCTTATTGACCTGGTAGTAATTGATTTACAGGTTTGCCACTCTCAAGGAGCCAATCAGATTCAGCAAGGACGAGTCCTATTGGTGATCCAATAGAGGACAAAGTGGTATAAATTAAGTTTATTACTAAGTCATTATAATGATGGTCGACAGCTGACTAAAATCTATGCAGGATGTCTATTCAATACTGAGATCTGTACTACAATATTATTACATTACTTTGATCTATTTTATGTCCGTGGATGGCATGCAGATAGTGTCTGAGCTGAGAAATGCTTCAAATAGAAGATCAAATGGAACACCCATAGACCATGAAATGTCGAAAGAAGTTGAGTCCAAGCATAATCCTCCCAGTGTGGTCGCCAAGTTGATGGGGCTTGATACCCTTCCATGGCAACAGTCTGATTCTGCTGCGCAAAGAAGTCATTCAAGAGACTATGCACGAAGTCATTCAGGTATTCCTTTGGCTTATTGGCAGCAAGAACATGGATTGGACATGCAAATGCAATGTGAGATCCATCAGTGTCCAGAGCATAATGAGTATAAGGATGTTTATGAAATATGACAGCAATCACAGAAAGGAAGTTATGTAAGAGATAAATCACCACAGAAAGGAAGGTATAATGAGAATACAAATGAGAAAAAGATGGCTTTAGTTCGTCAGAAGTTCATCGAAGCAAAATGCCTAGCCACAGATGAAAAACTTCACCAATCCAAACAATTCCAAGATGTGTTGGAAGTTTTAAGTTCTAACAAAGATTTATTCGTTAAGTTTCTGCAAGAACCAAATTCCCTGTTCTCTTAGCTTCTGTATGATTTGCAGCATGTGTCCCCACCTCCCGAGACTAAGCGCATCACTGTTCTTAGACCTTCAAATGATATATATATTTAGTTATAGGGATTATATCAGACAATTCTATAGTATTTATATCAGACAAATTTTGCACAGACCAATATATGGAAAAGTATTTTTAACTGCTTAGTTCAATAGAGTTATTGAAAACATGACTTTAACCAATTCAGTATTATTATTTAGTGATGAAAACATGACTTCAGTATTCTCTCATTTTTATCGTAATTGAAAACATGGCTTTAGTATTCTCTCATTGATTCGGGTAATTGTTCTTCTTCTTGAATTTTTTTTTTCCTCTCTCAGCTTTTGCCTTCATCAGAGCTTCTGTGGATCACTCTGACCACTTTCACCGTTGTTCACTCCGGCTGTGACATCACTTCGGCTGCTCAGCTATTCACTTCGGCTACTCGACATCTTGCTCGGCTGCTCGGTTAGTTTATTACTTTGGTTCTTATTTTTTTTTTGCTTAATTTTTTTTTCTGCTTGGCTGCTCAATGCTTTGGTAACGTTTGGCTACTCGACATCACTCTTTTTCCTCTCTCAACTTTTGTTATTTCTTTTGTTATTGCTTTGCTTTGATATTGAGCCAACTGATATATACGGGTGAATTTTGTTCTTTTGTTATTGAGCCAACTGCTCTTGTTAAAGAAAAGAGTTGCTTTGTTAAAGAAAATAGTTGCTTTGTTAACAAAGTGACTATACCATGGTTGCTATGGTTTAGACTATATCATGGCTGCTTTGTTAAAGAAAATAATTGCTTTGTTAAAGAAAAAATAATTGATATTGAGCCAACTGCTTTGTTTTTTATCTCTTTTGTTGCTCTGTTAAAGAAATAACAAAAGAAAAAAACTGTTTTTTTCTTTTGTTAAAGAGTAGTTGCAAAGGCTATGTTTTTTATCACCAAAATCAGTTGGCTCAATTTTTTATCACCAAAATCAGTTGGCTCAATTTTTTATCACCAAAATCAGTTGGCTCAATTTTTTATCACCAAAATCAGTTGGCTCAATTTTTTATCACCAAAATCAGTTGGCTCAATTTTTTATCACCAAAATCAGTTGGCTCAATTTTTTATCACCAAAATCAGTTGGCTCAATTTTTTATCACCAAAATCAGTTGGCTCAATTTTTTATCACTAAAATCACCAAAAATTCTGCTCAATGTTTTTATTACTGTTTTTTATTCTATTTTTTATCACCAAAATCACCAAAAATTCTACTCAAAAATTCTGCACAATGTTTTTTATTCTGTAATTAAAAATTTTGTTTTTTATTACTGTCAACTGTTTAAATTAGTGATGAGAGACAAAAATTCTGCTCAATGTATTTACTGTCAACTATTTATCACCAAAATCAGAAATTTTTTATCACAAAAAAAACATTAAGCATAAATTAGTTTGGTGTTCAAAAAATAAATAAAAGGTTATACACGTTAGTTTTGTGTTTACACGTTAAGTATTGTCAATTTTTTTACAAATACTGATGTGCTTTAGTACGTAGAAATGTCAAGATATTTGTCTAGGTATATAATTTATTTGGTGTCTGACATACACCAAAACAATATATAATCTTTATTTGGCTCAAACTCAACATTACACTAGCCACTCCTGAACTAGATGAATCTCTCACTATCTCAAATGTTGCGTGAGGAAACCTGCCATCTTCGCCTACCAGGGTCAATTATAGTCCCTCTTTTGCCTTCTTTTTGTGGCAGCAACCCCCATGATATAGTCACTTCGGCTGCTCTATTTTTTATCACCAAAATCAGTTATTGCTTTGCTATGTTTTTTACCAATTTTTGTCTCTCCTCCTTTCTCTCAGTGTGTTGGGCCCATGCTATAGATTTTTTGAGTTCCTGCTATCGGATATTAATTGCATTTTCAGTGTGTTGGCTCTGTGCTTATGGTTATTTACTTCCAATATTCAGCCATTAATTTGGTTTTTTCAGAGTCATAGCAACTCCCTTTTTTCAGAGTCATGTTAATAATTTTTAAGTGGGTGTGAAGTCTATGTCCATGCAGTGTTGTTAGTGAGTTGCTATAGTAAGAAAAATAAAATTGTTTTCTCCATTTTAGCTCCAAAAACTCACAAACATTATATAGTTCTTTACCTCTATAATTGATTATTCTTTTTAGGGGTCCAGATGATGATATGGACAAATTTTTTTTAATTAATTTCAAACTCCAAATCCAACATCTTAAGTAATAGATTCTAATAAATTTGTAAGCTTTTTAAGTGTACACATATAAATATATAGAAATTCCTATTTATTAGGTTAATAACATCTAAATTTCCTCTCACATCTAAATCAGAAATTTTTTATCACCAATGTTCCTATTTATTATGTTAACAACTCCCTTTTTTGTGTTTGTGTGTTTATAATTTATTATGTTTTCGTATAATTTATTATGTGTTCGTATTTTGGTTTGTTTGTTTGTTTGCACTATCACAAATGTTCGCAACTTTTTAGACTTAATAAGCTTTTGTTTGTTTGTTTGTGTAGAAATTCAGTATTTAAAATTTTGATTTTTCTATGTTTGTTATTTAAAATGAAATTCAGTGCTCTTAAAAAAATAATATAAAATGAGTGTCTTGGATTTTTTTGTCTTATCAACTTCAATTGTTTAGACTGACTTAGACTTAAATAGTTTGGAATTTTTCCTGTTTCACTTTTTCAAGTCCTCTGTCAACTGAATATGCTTCATTTTAGTAGTCATCTTGGGCATGTAATTGATCATATATATGTATATGCATATCTTAGCTTGGTGGTGGGTTGCTAGGTTAGGAGGCTTTTTTTCCATAATTTTAGCTTGCTAGATTTGTATTAAGGTTCTGCCTCAAGGTTGAGGCCTCACCCGTTGGTCATGTAATGAAATCTCAATGGATAAGCATTCGATTTCACATTTAATTCACTACACTTTCACAAATCATGCCTCTCTTTCTAGATAGCACACCACCAAGTTCCACATGGATTGGATTCTAAATTTCAGACATCACCTGGCAAGATATATAGATCAATTTCCATCATACATGGACATGTGCATGAACACTTCAAAAATGCCACAAATATACCAGAGATTCCATGTGATAGTTATCCCCACGTAGAAAATAGAACTGACGCCATTATTAAATGTGCAGTTGGACTTTGACAGATTAATACTGTGAATGATTCCATTTTTCCTACAAAATTATTAAAATTATAAGTTCCTTTTTTCATATTATGAAAGTCTTAATATATGTACAAAATAATACCTATTTGTATCAATAGATGCATGTTAAACAAATTATGTGTGTGTGGTTCAAAGTAACATTCTAATAAATGACATATCTTCAGGGAATGAAACTCTTTAACCGATCAATTTCATTAGTAAATACCAATCCCATTAGGCATAAGCTAAGTCATAATCAAGAGACAAAAGCAATTGGCTGATGACTCCATAATGTTTCCCCTTTCTATGATCACACTCTACCTCCAGATGATATTTTTATATTTTGGACCCAAAACTACCAATTCTTTAATATAAATTTAGCTCATGATAGTATCCAATGCTAAAATGGAGGGGAAAAAAAAAACATCCACTCAAAACCATCCTAGGTCTCATAGCTAGCTATATTCAAGGAGATGCTTGAAATACAAGTAGCCAAAATTGGAAAGAATAAGCCTTCTTGATCAGCTTTATATGTTCTTAAGAAGCTCATGGTATTTGGTAGGTCTCATTTTAAATTTTTTTAATATGAAATCTCTCTCACATATAGTAATATTGGGGAGTAAAATTGATTATACAAATAAGAAAATTGCAAAGATCTTTAGTGCTCCTCTCTATTTGATTTTACACATAGATCTTTGCAATCTGTGTGTTGAGTCTTAAGAAGCTCATGGTATTTGGTAGGTCTCATTTTAAATTTTTTTAATATGAAATCTCTCTCACATATAGTAATATTGGGGAGTAAAATTGATTATACAAATAAGAAAATTGACTAAATCTTTAGTGCTCCTCTCTCTATTTGATTTATTTATTTTTAATCAGCTGTTGTTCATAGAAAATTGGCTAAACCATTAAAGGTATCCTACTTCTTTAATATGTTGCTTGGCTTCCATTGGGAATTAAATTGTTCAATTTGCTTTTAGTTTACGTTTTTTTTTTAATTTAATATTATCATTTGTAAATGTTTTGCAATAATAGATTAATCTACAATAATAGATAGATATATAATACTTGATCTTAAAATGTAATTTATCCAGTTTAATGTAATTTATCATCTGGATTAAATTTTTTGATATGCCTTTTATATATTTGATATGCCTTCCATTGGGAATTAAGTTGTTCAATTTACTTTTAGATATACAAATTTTTTTTACTGCCTTTTATATTTTTGATATGCAATATAACTTTAAATCTTATATGTTTGTTTTTTAATTTGCATTAAGATTAGGAGGAGTTATTTTATTTGAGTTTTGTAGAGCGTGTAATACAAGCAAAATTGTTATAAGTTCTTTAAGAATAAAAATATTTCAATATATTTTTTCAGTATCTTTATAAAAAAATGACACAAATTTTATAAATTTCAACATAATACGTATAAATTATAACTGCATTTTAATCTTAAAATTATTTACACCGTGTCTTTAGGCACGGACCTATGCTAGGTTTGCTTTTATGGATCCAAACATCGTCTATAGCCCCCTTGACCGACCGCATATGCCCATTTAGAGAAAACTCGACTTTTTTTTATTGACTTTTTTTGACTATCTGTTCAAATTTTTTGACTTCTTGAGATGGCTGAGATACCTAATCAACATCTAACTGCTGAGATTAAATGATGGTTCCCGCCCAACTGATTTCAAATTTTAAACTCCTTCTCTGTACCCATTTCTCTCTCACCTTTTGCCTCTCATTTCTCTCTATCCCCATTTCTCTCTCTGCTTTCATTAGAGCTCACTCCGACTGTCATTCAATCCGACAGCAGCTCTGTTGCAACATCACTCCAACCATTTCGGCAGCTCAGCAGCTCAGGTTGCAACATCACTCAAGTGGATTTGGTGTTATTTTTGTTTGGGCTTTGATAATTACTCAGCTGGGCTTGATGATTTGGTTTTATCATATATTTTGTGGCTTTGATTATATATTTTGTGTAGTTATTTGGGAGAGGTACCAAACTAAAGAGTAACAGACTAACAAAGGCCAAATCTATATATTCAAATTGTTTTGATATATTATTATTTTTTTCAGTAGGAATGCAACGAAATATGTGGAAGACAGAGCCCGTAAAGGACTGAGTGGCCACTTCTTTCCACCGACAAATCGTTTAGGCTGTTAATGGTATTTATTTATTATTTATTTTTAAGTATCAAAATACATCTCAGATTGTTTATTTTAATTTTTTTTTAAATTTTTGTATAAATTCTGTAATTATTTAAGAAAAAAACAAAGAAAAAATTTGATGGCACATCTCATCTGCTTTGACCGTACATGTTTTATGAATATTTTATTTACTATTAACTATTTCAAATAGTATCTATATAATAAGGCAAGAGGTTTTTTGAAAATGTGTTAAAATGTATGAGAGATACATTTTGAATCATGGGTTTAGATCCATTCTAATAAATATCAATGGTGGAGATGTGTTTGATTCCCGCCGAAATGCTCTCTTCTCTTTCTCCCCCACGTTTGCCTAAACATATCTCTTCAACTCCCTCTCTATACGTTTCTCTCTTCAAAATAAAATAAAAAACCTGATCTCCTGTTATTACCTTTACCCTTCTTCATCCTTCACCAAACACCACCACTGATCCGCTGCCGCCGCTCACCACCACCGCCGTTGCTCATCATCATCGTCGCCATTGATCCAACTCCGCGACTGTCCCACCGTCCCTCTCTATCTCTCTCCCACTCTCTGTTCTTCTGCTTTAACAGAACGATCTCACCCACCCTCTTTCTCCTCAACGAAAGGCGAAAAAGAGAGCAGCAGCAGCAGAGGCCCAAGTGGCCGATGAAAGTTGAATCGGAAGCTAATCCGATGGCCACACCATCTGAGAAAAGTCTGGTCCCAATCCCAGACGAGAAGCTCTCTCTCTCCAAAACCCTTGCCATACCTGAAAGTAAAACACCTCTCTTCTCTCTCTCTTTCTCTATCATATTATATAAAATAGTGGAGTCAATCTAAAGGAGGAGCAATCTTGCCCACCAACTGTTCGATAAAAATGATGTGAGACAGAGGTGCTAAATTTAGACTTCATTAATGCTCCAATCGATTTGTACTACAAACCCAGATTAGTACTACACAAGAATAGTACACATTAACCCTTATTTCCATGTTGTTAAGGTTTTCTTGATTCAACACCTATAAATCTGGTAATTTGGTGATTTGTTTGAAATACCCAATTGAGGGTTTATTGGTTTTTGTGAGCAAATACAGAGGAAGTCAATAATCGATCTGGTGATTTGGCTATTTTGTGGAGTTCTGGGGGTCGGCATTTCTGGGTTTTGGCAAAGATTTATTTGTTGATACATACATTTGAAGAATTCAGACTTCAATTGTGAGACTTTGTGGGCTTTTCATACTCTCAGGCCTTCCTATGCTAAGGAAAAGAACTATCCAGGTGAGATCACTCATGTTTACTAGCTTGCTTCCTTTTAAAGTTTTTAATTTTTATTTTAGTCAATTGGGAGGAGAATATTTACAAAATATATTAGAAAATTACATTAAATAGAATAAGTAATTATGTAAGAAAGTCCAATTATATATACCTGCAACTAAAATGCTAATATGCACACTCCTACCATAAGAAATTTATGAATTTTTTTGGGTAAAAGTTATGAATGGGGAATTTATGGTGTGCACCTAAAGTGAAAGTTCTAAACCATTGTGATTATGTTGATTAGTTATGAACGATGTGGTGAAAATGTTACGAACCATTTGTAGTGACAAATCATTTTGGTGAGAAAAGTTACATGTTAAGGTATTTGTTACGGAATATTGTGGTTATGTTAAGTTTGTTGTGGTAATACAGTATGCCATTTTTAGAATATGCACCACAACTCCCTACCCGCAAACTCAACATCACAGCCACTATATTAATATATGAAATTGTGGTTATGTTAAGTTTGTTGTGGGAATACAGTATGCCATTTTTAGAATTTAAACCACAACTCCCTACCCGCAAACTCAACATCACAGCCACTATATTAATATATGAAAGAGTTTAAAGGGAAAAAATAACATCTAAAGAAAAACCTAATATGAAATAAATAATTAGTCTCTACTTTGACTAGAAATTGACACTAACCTCTCTTAATATATGAAAAGAGTCCATAAAGGGAAGAACAACAACTAAAGAAAAAGCTAATATGAAAGAAATAATCAGTCTTTACTTTTACAAGAATTGACCTTGACCTCTCAATTAAGGTAAGTGACCCTAGCCTATTAAGCACGGACACGGATACAGACACTGGCATGGAACACGATGATTTTAAAAAAATGGGGACATGGACATGGCAAAGGACATGGCAATTTTTTTTTATATTTATATATATATATATATATTTATTTACGATTGAGATTAATTTTATGTTACCAAACATCAAAATTCATAAAAACTACCATTAATTCAATATATATACATTTCATTCTCAGTTCTGCTAGTTTTTGCTAATGTTGTGTGCTGTTTTGCTGGGGTTTTTGCTCTGGTTTTTGGGTTTTTATTTACTCTATTCTGTTTGATTATGCTATTGTTGGTTTTATGAAAAAGCTGCATGTTCAACTTTCAATTGGCCATTGATGGTTTAATTTAATTATGGCTATAGTCTTAAATGTTTCAAATGTTACAGCTTTTTGTTAAAGAATCTCTGGTATGGTTTAGATGGTCCAAATTGGCAAGAAATTATGTGTCTTTTTATCTAACACTGAACACGCAATGAGACGAGCTTAATTTACAAATACACTAGAACTGATGACATTGTGTGCAGTTGAGATTGCTTGATTGAGATGTGCAATTTGAACATGGGTTCTATTCTATTTCAGGTGCTTATCTTGCAAGATAGTGTAGAAGAGAAGGATGATGAGATCTTAAGGTTGAAGCAGGAGTTGCAGCAGAGGAGCATAGTGGAAGAGGAGAAGACTAAGGTAGCTTCTGATAAGAAAGATGGTGACATCGACGGAAGGATGCTATGTCCTGAAGCAGAAACAGAGAGTTAGTAAACTTACTTATCCGAAAGGACTTCACCCCCCAACACCGCCGCGCCCCCCCCGGCGCTTTCGCTGTGTGTATATTGTACATTAATTTTGGTTTTTTATTTTTCTTGACTTAAATTTTCTATATCTTTTAATAGGCCAATAATTTTTGAGACTTAGGAATAAATTCTCAAAGCTGTTGTAACATGATGCATAGGCATGATTTTTGAATGGGACTGTCCCTTTTCCCAATCCTCCCATTAAATGGTTGATTGTGGAGGCTGCAAAATGGGAATTGGGAAGTTCAGGACAACACTAGGGATGCCATTCTTCCTCTCACTAACCTGCTGGACCGCATTCCATTTTTTTTAGTGTGCATACGGGGATTGTGCTCATTATCAATTTAGGGTTTAGAGAATATGTGTTAGAATGAAACCTATACTTTGTTATCATATTGATGGGTAGGCAACCATAAATGTTTTCAAAATTTTGGAATTGGTTTTTGCAGGATCTGAAAATGATGGATGTTTTTGAACTTTTCATTGTTTTTGTTTTTGAAAACAAAGAAAATGAAAATACAACCAAACAGGTTACTACAGTTCTCTTACAAGTTTATTGTGCATTTAAAAGTTATAGGATGTCCATTCAATAATTTTACCCTTTCTCAATATATTGTAGGGGACGAAAGAGTTGAATCCTAAGTTATTCTTTGTTTAGGCAGGCTGAATTAGATAGGATTAACATTCTTAAATTTATTAGCTTTAGAATTATCAATGCCTTCAGGATTGTAGGATTGCTTTTTTATTCTGGAAAAGTTTCTATTTGTTCTTATTTTCTTTTCTCTCATTCATTCTTATCTATTATTCAGGAAATTGCTAGACAATTATGTGTGCAACATCAATTGTTGTTCTAAAAAATGGTAACATGCCTAATCCATTTAAGATCACATGATGCATTTGGAACATAATTGATCCAGTATTTTTTTTATTATCTTGACTTGATTTTCGCAGGCATCATTTGATGATAACACCCAGTTCATGATAGCAATGTTAAGGTGAGTGTAGAAAATGTTGTTAATGTAGTCTTCTGACCTTGACTAATCGACAGTTGGGTTTTCTTGAGCTGTCCATTTCATTCTGTTCTGTGCCTCCAACGAAGTTGTTTTCAGTGATCAAGATAGTATTACCATTGTTCTCTTTGTTCTTTCCTTTTTTATTGCATTAGTTCCTATTTGAACTAAAGCCTCTCTAATTTCTGTGGTCTTGCCTCTTATTAGTTCTATCCTTATATGGGTTTAACTCCATTTTTACTATCATCAATCCTCTTTGTTACATTTGACATGTTTTAACAGATAGTAGCAATAATTCACCATTCAAATCAATCAAAATGGCACAGACCTTTTACTTCATTAAATCTTTCCCTACGGTTGCACTTTGCAATTATTGGATCTATTGCATCAATTAATTACTAGAAAGGAACAATGAATTCAAAAAGCTGGCAGCACTCTGTGAAATGATTTTGTGAATCACATAAGACTTGGTTGTAACCTTAAACTCTTGAGGGAAAGGAAGACAATGGACTATGTGAAGCTAATGCATAAGAGTTACAACATGAATGACATCTTGCCAGATAGCAATGTACAGTACCCCTTGGAAGTTTGTGTTTTAGTTTTTGGGCACAAGCCAATGCTGCTTACTTTAGTATGCACATTTGTGATATTGCTTATCTGCTTCTGCAATATTTCTCAGACTCTTCTCTATGAAATTCAAATAAAAGTGTTGTAGGATTGCTTTTTTATTCTGGAAAAGTTTCTATTTGTTCTTATTTTCTTTTCTCTCATTCATTCGTATCTATTATTCAAGAAATTTCCAGACAATTATGTGTGGAACATCAATTGTTGTTCTCAAAAATGGTAACATGCCTAATCCATTTAAGATCACATGATGCATTTGGAACATAATTGATCCAGTATTTTTTTTATTATCTTGACTTGATTTTTGCAGGCATCATTTGATGATAACACCCAGTTCATGATAGCAATGTTAAGGTGAGTGTAGAAAATGTTGTTAATGTAATCTTCAGACCTTGACTAATTCAATTCGGGTTGTTTTATGATTTTAATCAGCCTCTTATTAGTTCTATCCTTATATGGGTTTAACTCCATTTTTTTTGAACCTATTTGTCCAAATTATTTTAACATATCTTCTCATATTTTTAACCTATCTGTCCACTTATTTTAATTAATAAATTTTTACTTATATGTTTAAATTATTTTAACTTATTTGTTTTCAAAATTGAAAAATGCGTACATCAATTTGGACAGATAGAGATACCTGAAACTTAAAAAAAAAACATTTGTGGGATTACATCTTTAACATGTCATAACTTTACACTTGGTAATCGATTTTGGACAAATTTTGTTTTGTTTTGTTGTTTTTGTTTTTAGATTTATGCATATGAAACTGCGGAAAGTGATTTTTGAGTATGTTTTGTTGTTTTACGTTGTTTATATAGTGTGGAATAAGTTTTATATTAAATTATTAGAATGTTATATAGTAATATTAATTTTAGAGAAATTGTTTATTTTTTACTATTGTATTAATAAAAGTTAATTTTATGTTATTTACAATTTATTGCTGCTTCTCTGTTAGATTTGTGATTTTAATTTGTTTAGTTAAGCAATATTGGTAATTGGTAAGTTGTGGTGAGTTCCATTTATTTAGGATTTATTTATTTACATCGTGCCTTCAGGCACGGGCATACGCGAGTATATATATATGGTAGACTTCATTCATATATAAAGTTTATATAAAAAATAGGTGCACAATTTCTCTCTGGTCCAAATTAGATTGGAAGGTATTGTTGAGCTTTTGTAAACTCACCAAGGAATTAGCATTGATAATCCGAACTATTTAATGCATAAGGCTCGTCAAATATTTCATCCCTTTTAAAAAATCACGTTAATCGAATATCGATATTCACTTGATCAGATCATAGCATAAGTATGATTTTTAAAATAAATTATTTATACAAATTAGATTTGATCAAATGACTATCGATACCTGATCAATATGATTTTTTTACAGAGATGGAGTACTCGACAAGCGTTACATATTGGACGGTTCGGATCATCGATGTGAGTTTCGTGGTAGACCCACAAAGGGTTAACAACACTCTCTAGTTGAGATACTTAACTAACAAGAAGCCTCTCCATAAAAAATACTACAAAAGGCTGTGATAGTGTTGATGTTGTAAATATAAATTATTTTTATAGGTATTTTATTTTAAAATGAAAGGTCACTATTAAGCCACATCATTAATTATGAAAATCCTGTATGAATTTTCTATTTGTATTTCATTACTCTCTCTAAGAATGTATTAGAAGGCCTAAATTGAATTAATTTGAGAAGTTAGAGGGTTTATTTCAGTGAAAATATTGTTTAGGGATTTAATTGAAAAAAGTAAACAATTTAAGTGCTCCTAATGTAATTTACTCTATAATTAAACCCACAGCAACAATTAATAGATAAATACCTTAATTTTTAAATTAAAAAAGAAGAATATATTTATTGTAAAAATAAAAATAAAAATAAAAATGAAACTTCTAAAAGTTGAACTTTGCATTGCAAATATTAAAAGGGTCATCAACGTTGATGTTTAATTGAAATACAACAAAGTAAAGGTGGATAAGAAGGTAAAGTATTATTATTAGTATTATATTTTATTTTGTTTTTTTTTGGGTACAGGTGTTGATTTTAATTAAAAATTATTATTTATTTCGTTTCAAAATATTAGTCCTTTTTAGATAGGAATTTTGGCTTTGACTTGCTTGAAATAATAGCTATCTTCCGAACAGAATGAAGATTAGAAGAAGAATTATTGATAGTGGCATTGTGATGAATCTACCCTCCATGCGTTACGAACGTTCATTTGGGACAATCTAGTCAAGGTCAATCGGAGAGATGATTTTTTCAATTTGCCGTTACCAGAATGGATTGACTCAAATTTGTGTTGTGACTTGGTCTAGCGTTGGGGTTGGACAATGGGCTTGAGTTTATTTGGTTTTGGCATAGTAAACTGTTTTGAGGATCTGTCATTGGCTGGGCTCAGCAAATCGATTGAAGATATTCTTCAAGTGGTATTGGAAGTACACACTTCGCTAGAATTCTTTGGCCAAAGAATGGTTGCCAGGTGGGAGTTGGAAATGGTACTCTCTACAATTCCCTTGGGTAAAAGTCAATGTGGATGGAGCGGTCAAAAGCGGAATTGACAAAGCTGGAATTGGTGGCTTTATTAGGGACTACTATGGGCTCTGGCTTGGGGGCTTTTTCAAAACCATGGTTGGAGTTAGGCCTGTCAACAGGTCGGATCCGGGTCGAATCTGCCAAAATCCGATCCGATCCGATTAACCATTAATCAAAATCCGAATCCGATTATTGAAAATCCGATTATACGTGATCCGATCCGATCCGTTTTACGCGGATATCCGATCCGAATAATCCGATCCGTTTTTTTTTAGCCAGCCATAAAGTCAAGAAAATACCAATTATAAAAAAAACATAGCAGGTTTTTATAATGAAAAGTTCATCTTGATGTTCTAACTTTCCTAAGGCAAAACATTTAGGCAAATCATCACCAATGCGAAACATAACATCATTTCAAAACATCTTTCCAAAACAAAACATCACAATACATAAATGAGGGCTTTCACAATGTAGCATGAAGTAACAACAAAGAAAAACTTTTTTTAAAAAAAATTCAATTCCAGCAGACTAAAAGTGAAATTGAAAGATATCTACCATGTTTGACTAGCAACATCAAAATTGGAAACAAGTCTATTTCATTACACATGCTAAACATATGTTCTCGGATTTTGAACATACAAATCAAATCAAACAATACTAAGCTGAGCAGTCTAATTCAAAGCTTACAAGCCTAACCCAGCTCAATAACTCAACCTGATCATATCCTAGATAGAGTACAAAAGTCACTGTTGCATTCATGGTGTAAAAACAACTCAAAAGATGTCACCAGGTTTTGAGAGACAATGGAGCATCATTACAAAGCAACAAACCAATCACTTGGTTGCAAATTAAACGGTGATGTGATTTAGTTTCACTATCACCAATCATATCCAACTCAAAAAGAATAATTCCATCATTGATAATGGATCTATACAGAAAAAATTTCATCATCATCATGATCACCAACGAGATCCTCTGCCCATTCTCCAATCAAGTGAGTAGATTTTGTAACACTCTCAGCCATAAAATTGAGATCTCAGAACTCTACCATGTAATGTAACACTCGTAGCAGTCAGATAGATACCAACCCTAATGAATCAGTCCCTACAGAAGCTTCAGTCCACCTGTTACATCATCAACCATTTCAGCAGGTCCTGCACATGCATGAGCATGAGAATTAGTCCAATGCTAATCAGAAGAGTGACATAATTTTCAAATCAATGACACATTACCCTGTTTGGATGTTATTATTATTTTTTTTAATGCCTTTCTTTTCATATCAACCTTTAATTGCTTAATTTGCAAATAAAGCACATCAGTAATGAAGAGAATTCCAACTTCTCAAGTCAATGCATTTAACTCCATGTACAAAACCATATAATATCAAAGAAAGGTCGGTGGATAATATGCTAGAAATAATTGTAAGTGTTGTTGCAACTTGCAAGTATCGAATGAAAAAGACTTGGCAGACAATGTGAGGGTATCACAGAACATAGTTGACACAAAATTGAGAAAAAAAAATTGCACATTGCTTGAAAGCTAATCCAAATTTATAGACTTGTTTTCAACATAAAAACTTTTCAATGTAAATCTTGATAACAATAATTAATCCTACAAATTTATAGGCCTCTAAAATTCTCAATCAATTTGCCACTCATCCAATACTTATTCACAGCTCAATCCAAGAATATCAAGCTCCAAGAAGAAAAGTTATGTAACCACATTTCACCACAAGCAGTTCTAGTAAGAGATAATTAAAGCTATATACTCACGATTCTTCCAAGTCAATAACTTTAATAGCAACCACTTTGTTAAGCTCATTATCAAACCTGCAAATCAAGAAAGCTATTACCTTAATATGCAAACAGATTATCAAATTATGTCAGATACGAATTTCATAGATCACTATAAAGGCATGGGACAAGCCCCATAATCTGAACCATATTTACCCATCTACTTCAAGTGATTCGATTCAATTCAATCCATCTACTCATGTCTGCATTCTTCTACATCTGCAATTTGAAAATAATGTGACATTAAGATATTCATAGAACTAAACTAAATAACATCTAATTATTTAAAAATTTCAATATTTCACTTACTTCTATTTTTGGTTGATTCAATCCAATCATGGCAAGTGATCAAGGCCTCCACAATATCTGGAAGTAATGAAGCACGTGTCTCATCAATCACCCTACCTCCTACACTAAACGCCGCCTCTGATGCAACCGTAGTAGCAGGAACACTTAAAACATCACGAGCTATCCTTGCCAAAGTAGGAAATTTTGCTTTATTCACTTTCCACCAATGTAGAATATTGAAGCTCTCATTACTTGGAAACACCAACTCCTCCAAGTATTGCTCCACCTCTGATTTTTGATAGGCATGAATGTTAGAAGCACGTTCTTGGGCATACCACGCATGAAAAGCAGCCAAACTTTCTTGTTTCGAAGAACCGACAAGCAACTGACTACCACTTGAGCTACTATTTTCAGAAACAAGTGCAATGCTACTCATAGAATCAGAAGAATCACTCCTATACTCATAAAAAAGATCAACAAAACCATTACGGACCCTCTGAATATGCTTATTAGCATCAACACCATAAATAAGCCCAAAGTAGTATTCCACCAAGTCCATTTTAAATCTCGGATCAAGAACCACTGCAATTGCTAACACCAAAGAACATTCTTCCCAATATTTTTGAAATTTCACTCTCATTGGACCAGCCATCAATTGAATGCAATCATACTCACTTTGCTCCCATTTTTTCATTTCAAGTTGAATAAGACAAATATCGGGAAAAAACACATTTGAAGTCGGAAAAGTGGTACCACTAAAGTGAGATGTAGCATCAAAAAAAATCTTCAAGCACCCACAAATCACATTTGCTACATTCCACTCATCCTCAGAAGGATTGTGCTTATATTGTTTGTCAATTTGCCCTAAGCGGTGGAATGCACTTTTCAAATCTAATGCAGCTTCAAGCATTGAATAAGTGGAGTTCCATCTGGTAGGAACATCCATGGGGACTTTCTTTTTATGATGTAACTTAACATGATTCACTGCAACATCAAATTTTTGTTTTCCATAAGGAGACCTCCCTAAATATCTCACACTTTCTCGGATTTTTGAAATAAGACTACCAATCACCTTCAAACCATCCTGAACAACTAAATTCAATATGTGCGCGCTACAACGCACATGAAACAATTGTCCACCCAAATGTAGTAATCCTTGGTCATGTAGCCATCGCTTTAAGAGTCTCACCATGACATCATTACTCGTTGCATTATCGACCACCGTTGAAAACAACTTCTTATCTATGTTCCACTTTAAAATTAGATCTTTGATAAAGCTAAACAAATGGTCTCCATCATGCAGGTAATCAATGCGTTTATAAGCAAGGATTTTCTTCTTTAACTCCCAATCATTAGTCACATAATGGGCAGTCAAACATGTATAGGCAAAATTCTAGTGGTCTGAAGTCCATATATCAGTTGTTAAGGTGATCTTAGAAGACAGTTCATCCAAAAATTGATATAACTTGGCCTTTTCTATTTCATAAACATCAAGGACATCCGCTCTAACAGTGTTACGAGACACAAGTTTGAACATTGGTTGAAGATTATTGCAAAATATTTCAAAAAACTCATGCTCAGCCATGTTAAAAGGATAATTATGCTTGATTATCATCCTAGAAAAATCCATACGACTTCTCTCTTGATCGAATTTAAAAGTTGTAGCCTTAGGAGTAGATTCAGAAGCAGCCTTACTAGTATTCGTAGGGGCATTTGGCCCTTTAAGTACTGGACATGTCTTTGACAAATGATTTTTTAAATGATTAGTCCCTTTCCTACTCTCTCCAACAAATTCCCTATTGCAATGCTTACATCTAGCTATGTCATTTCCACTAGGTCCTTTAAATTTGACAAAGTCATCCCATACCTTCGAAGTTAGTTTTCGAATCCTCTTTGTGGATCCTTGAGATACATCGTCATCCAACTCGGCATCATCAGGAATAATAGGTTCGCTATAATCCGAAGACATCTCCAATAGTAACTGCAGACAAGCACAAAACAGTGTGCACCAAACACTTCAATTTGGAAATTATATAGATTTGTGTGCATGTGATCAATCTACTGAAGGGGAGAGGGGGGGGGGAATGAAGTTCAAGCTAATTCACAACCCACACCCCATTTCGTCTCTATAAATCCAACACCAAACATAGCATAACTGAAATAAATTAATTTGGAAATTACTATCCAAAAGTCAACAGAAAAATTTACTCTCAGATTCATAATGGAAAAAGACTTCAAAGCAATTGAGCCATTGATGTTATATATATTGAGTAACTCAAAAATCTTACCTTTCTTTGGTTTTAAGAACATTTCACTACTCAAACAAAAAAGACATTTCCACTTATTGAATTTGTCATAATATTCCTTCTAAGAAGAACATCTCTAATAGCAATTTTGTTCAAAAAAATCCAGTAAGTTTTCTCAATTAAGAATTACATATGTTTTCACCCTCAAAGTTAGAATTCTGGATCGGTCATTGTGTGGGTAGATATAGAAAAATCAAAACAATGAAGACCCAATTGAAGAGTAAAAGAGAAAGGAACCGGGTTGGACATAGAAAAAACCATGAATCACTCTAACAAGTATATATGATATTACATTCAAACAAACAACCCAAAGTACCCATCAAATAACAAATATATAGAGTCTCAAAAACATCCAAGAAAATGTTTCAGAATTGATTTTCCATTAAAACAAACAAACCAGACCTCTTATATAAAGGAGAAACACAAGGCAGTACAAAGCAAAAGAATACCTAGATCAGAGAAGTCGGAGAAGAAGACGAAGAATAAGTATTAAGGCTAAGATATCAACTCCTTCCCTGTATTAAAGGCTAAGATATCAAACACAAACGGATCAGAGAGCTCAACGAAGAATACCTAGATCAGAGAAGTCGGCGAAGAAGATGATGACAAATAGATTTGATACTAACTAGAGAGCTCACCGAAGAATACCTAGATCAGAAACAACATAGGGCTCGATTTGGCTAAGTTCATCGGCATCAATCGGAGCAGGAAGAGACGATGAGAGAGAGAGAGAGAGAGAGAGAGAGATTTGATTATGAGAGAGATCTAGGTTTTTTTTTGATGAGAAATGATGAAGAGACAATGAGATGAGAGATTTGATTTGGTTTTTGAGAATTCAATGTAATCGGATTGGGCAAACAAATGGACCGGATCGGATTTATCCGAATCCGATCTGTTTTTAAATCGGGCTATGCGGATACGGACTAAACAGATATTCGGATTCGGATATGTTTAAACGGATCGGGTAAATCGGGTCGGATTCGGATCGGATTCGAGTTATACCCGATCCGTTGACAGGCCTACTAAAAAAAAAAGACCCTATCCTTGTCTCAAGAAAGATTGAATGAATTAGCTCTGTTATCTATTGAAAATGATATAGTGGATAAATTAGATTATACAAACTTAATTAGTAATTTTGCAGCTAAAAATGTAAGAAGAGTAATGTTTAAGTGATACTTTATCGTAGTTGGTTCAATTTTTATTTGGTATTATAGCTTTGCATTTTTTTCTTTATTGTAAATTGGATTTTGCCATTTTAAATTCTTATAATAATTTCTTCATATCTTAATCCATATATGTAAATTTTTGTATTGATACTCACAAATAATAACTTGTACATTTTTACTATTTATAATATTACTCAAAATTTTTGTTTGATAAAAATGTATAAGGGCTCCTTTAGAAACTTCGCCTACGCCCTATAGAATTCAGGACCGGCCTGCTTTGTACATTCCTGAACGACTCATTTTTGTTAGAGGAATTATAGAAATTATTCTATGTTCTTGAAGCAAGTTTAGATGGTGCTTTAAATTAAAAGTGGTTGGTCTAATATAGTATATATCACCTTATTGATGTTCGACAGTTAGAGATGATGTGAAATATGTCAATTAATTAATGAAATAGACCATTGCTCTAAGAGTAATGAATAATTTCTCTTACTAGCACACCCTTGTCATAAAGAAAATTACGATTTTTTTAGGATAAAATTTAAGGACTACGATTTGTTTTATAATTATGCTATGAATATTATAATTATTGTTAGTTTTTTTTTTTGGGATGATGAATAAAAAGTTATATTTTGTACTAAAAAAAGGTTATGACATTTTATGGTTTAGGTTAGAAATTTTTAAAGAAGACGAAGAGATTTTCTTGCAAATATGATTGCATTTATATCATTTTTTTTCTATAAAGAACTGTTATTGAGAATACAAGTTTAATCTCCTCTTAGATTAAGTTTGGTGAGGATGAAAGTGAGGGAAATAAAAAAAAAAACAAAAATATTAGAGATTTTAAAAATTCTATCAAGTGTCTCACATGGGTGTGGGACCTACACATCCCACATCTATGTGAGACATTTGATAGAATTTTTGGGGTCTCTAACATTACTCATAAAAAAAATTTGACTTTGTTTAGCATGAAAGTGATAGAAATTAGAAGAAGTTAATTTTTTTGTACAATTTATGATAGTATGACAACTAAATTTTTAGTTTTTTGCCCAAAAAATAAAAAGAAAAAATATAAGAAAATTTAAATTTGTTTTTAAAAAATAGTTACTTATACTTCAAATTCCTATTTTATCTCTATTTTCTTTTCAAAATTACAAGAAATTTTGTTTTGTTTTGTTTTATTTTGTTTTGTTTTTTTCTTTTGCATTTGTTTCAACTATTTTTACTCTTTATAATCAAACAGACCTTTAAAATAAGTTTCAAATTGTTGGAGATCAAGTTTTTTAAGGTCTCGATCATTCTTTTCAATTTTCTTAGACTTGAAAACTTGAAGAACTTTAAGTGTTTGATTCAAAGAACAAGCTAGTGCTTAAATTCAAACCTGAAAAGGAGATAAAATCAACGATTCACCAATTATAACATATTGAAATTTAGTTTTTTTTAATTAATAAATTTAAAATTCATCCACTTGGACCAAGGGAGGAAATGTTTGCTTGTTGCTTATAAAAATAATGTTTACTTGTTGCTTATGATAATAACAACTAATTAATTCATCTACTTGGACCAAGGGTTATCTTGTACAAAAAGTCGTGGACATCCCCTAACTGGCCAGTTGCTTTTGGTTCAGGCATTTACTGTCGTCATTAATTAGAATTTTTTTTGATAGTGACCATTAATTGTAATTGATAAGTTAAACTTTTTCCTTGGAATTAACTGGTGATGACCACATGTTAACAAAAATCTATGTGATATGGAAGATCAATGCTATATTAATTAGTATATTAACAGTAATTAACAGATGACATATTCATAATTTTAAAAGTTATAAGTATTTATATTTTGTATAATGGATAAGATCATAATTTTAAAATAATAATGTCATAATATATATTTATATATTAATTGATCTACTAATTAATACACGTAACACCATCGTAGATAAAATGGGTCTAGTTAACATGAAAGGCACAAATGTAGAGAAGCCAATAATACAAATATATGTATATATATATACAAATGCATAAATACATGTGAAATATTATAAATTTATAGCGAGATAGATCTTTTATCCTTATATTAAGTGTGATGATTTGGTCATCCATACCTTTCAAGTTTCAATCAGTAGATAAATCTTTCATATATATATGGTAGACTTCATTCATATATAAAGTTTATATAAAAAATAGGTGCACACTTTCTTTCTGGTCCAAATTAGATTGGAAGGTATTGTTGAGCTTTTGTAAACTCACCAAGGAATCCGCATTGATGATCTGAACTATTTAATGTGTTAGTCACTTGATCAGATCATAGCGTAAGTATGATTTTTAAAATAAATTATTTATACAAATTGGATTTGATCAAATGACTATCGATACCTGATTAATATGATTTTTTACAGAGATGGAGTACTCGACAAGCCTTACATATTGGACGGTTCGGATCATCGATGTGAGTTTCGTGGTAGACCCCCAAAGGCTTAACAACACTCTCTAATTGAGATACTTAACTAACAAGGAGCCTCTCCATAAAAAATACTACAAAAGGCTGTGATAGTGTTGATGTTGTAAATATAAATTATTTTTATAGGTATTTTATTTTAAAATGAAAGGTCACTATTAAGCCACATCATTAATTATGAAAATCATGTATGAATTTTCTATTTGTATTTCATTACTCTCTCTAAGAATGTATTAGAAGGCCTAAATTGAATTAATTTGAGAAGTTAGAGGGTTTATTTTAGT